TTCCAAGCTAGAGCTCCACCCAAGACAATTACAAAAAAACCCATATACAACATTTAAAATGGAATTAAAACAATACAAAATAGAAAACAGAATCATAACATTCCAAAGCATGTGAAACAATTTATTAATTTTTAGCCAAAATGTGAATATGAAATGAAATCTTTCTCCTAAAGACCTTCACAAAGCAGCTTAATCCAGCCTTTTTAGAAAGGGAATTCCAGAGAGTAAGAATTGCTCAGTTATTCTACCACAGAAAAGTTTCCTGGTCTTATCTTTGCCAATATAACCTCCCAGGTAGATAAAGGCCTGCAACGTCTTCAGATTTTAGTAAATGGTGACTTCCATATGAGTGAAGGCACTCTTGATGAACATGCAATATCAAAATGAAGGCTTCCTTATAGATAATTATGCATCCTGTTTGACCTTAATTTCCTTATTTAATTGAATATACAGGTTGATTATTTCTTGTTTATTTAGGATATTTTATGCTGCATTTCTAGACCTGCTTAAGGCAACTCAGGACAATAAAATAAAACTAATCAATACAATAAAACACAAATTGTATAATACAATCTGTCCAAAAAAAGAAAAGGATATTAACAGGTGGGCTGGACAATCTCTCCTATATTATAATCCTGTTTTGGGGTGGCAAGATTCTATGCTCCCCCTCAGCCATTGGCCTGTCATCCGCCACTCAAGAGTACTCATGTGCCATTGGCCGGGTGCTGGATCTGCTCCTCTTCCCCACCCACTCCCCCTTCAGCCACTGTACCCTGTCAGAATTACTGGCAAATGGCTTTCTCTCTTGCCGAAGACACTTTTCCTATGTGGGACTAACTCTTCCCTCAGTGGCTGTTGGTAGGTGTCACGCAATGGCAGTTACTTGTGTTTGTAAGATGGCTGTGGTTCTTTGTTTAAAATGTTCCCCCATAAGCAGGGGTCATTTGGGGGGGACGCGGGGGGACGCCATCCCCCCGGGTGAGGTGTGGGAGGGCGGGGCCTGGAGCTCCCTGCTGGTGCCTGCTGGAGGTCGCCGCCGGCTGTGGGGAGGACACACTTTCGGTGATGTCAGGGGGTGTGGCATATGCTAATGAGTTATGCTAATGAGTCCCCCTAGCTCTTTTACTACGAAATGACCCCTGGGCAGATCATGCACAGAAAAGCTGCACAGAAAACAGAAATTCAGAGGCTTTTCGCAACCTGCAGATATGAGATAGAAAATGTTTTGTTCTCTGAATTTTTGCCATCCATGAAGTTGTTGGCAGCCCAGGAGCCCTGCTGGAAAGAAGAGGGGGAATTAGATTAAGAGGGGGAATGAATTAACTCCATTCACAACTCTACGGTGCAAAATTCTGAATCAGGCACCTTCCTTTCAGACTGAACCTACCCCTTCACATTTTCAGATCACCTCTAGAATCACTTTCTTTCCCTGCTCCTCTGCCTTTAACAGCAACCTGGCCAGATAAAGTCGTGTCCCCAGAAAAGTGATCATTTTCTGCTAAAAATACACGTTAGTACAGGAACATATTAAAACAAGAAGGAGTCTTGAGGCACCTTAAAGATTACTTATTGAAGCACAAGCTGCAAGCTAGACCCCCCTTCATCAGATGCATGACATGAAACATCAGTATGCGTATAGGTAAATGTAACACACAAGGAAAATTTGTGAGCTGAAAATGCAAGAGGAGTCACCTGTCACGTTTTCCTGCACAACTAAAAAAAAGTTCATAGTAATCCTGTACAACAGCTACAAACAGTGATAATAACACAGTCTACCTAGTTATGCTAACCGGTTTAACACCTGTTAGTGGCTAAGAACATGCGGTGTCTGTTTAAGCCCTCATTAACATAACTACAGCAACTTAGTATGTACTTTGCAGCTCTTACTAACACTTCCAGTCTAAAGCTGAACTGGTTTTCTACAGAACTTCCAATCCAAATTATACAGGGTTTTCATTACACAGACACCAAGGCTCAAGGCAATGCCACTGACACCCACAGAGTCAGGTTGCCAACTCTTGTTGCCAGCTTCTACCCTGTGTCTTCTATACCAATTCAGTGTGCAGGCTTTAGCAAGCAATCCCCTCTTTAAAAAGGCAGCTGATGATTCTTGCACGGTAAGATGCTGTTAAAGGCAGAGGTGCAAGTTGGGCTGTCCGATTCCCCCCCCCCCCACACCAGTCAGCAATCCTAACAAAAAGTCATAGACCTCTCCATCTACGGTATCTGGCCGCCGGATCCCTTGAAAACCCCCAAACTTGGCAATTGCCTTTCCTCCATCCTGTGCTCTTTACCTGAGCTGGCTTGGCAGGTTCTTGCTCCTGCAGGCAGGCCTCCGCCAGGTAAGCTGCCTCCTTGCTGCTGCCCGGCTCTTTGGCTCTCACCCAGGCCTGCATGTCGGTTGGTAGCACAGACAGGAACTGCTCCAGGATGACCAGGTCCACAATCTGCTCCTTGCTGTGCTCCCCAACCAGCCATTCCCTTCTGGGGAACTACTGTTGCCAATCTCAGGAGAGGGGTGGGAATCACTCAGAATTACAACTGATCTCCAGGAGGGAGGGGGGAGGAGATGCAAAGCTGAAATTAGAGGGGCAGATAATGGCAAGTTGATGCTTGGCTGGGAAGGAGATAGGATTGCCAACTCCAGATTGGGAAATTCCTGGAGATTTGAGGGGTGGAGCCTGGAGAGGGTGAGGTTTGAGAAGGGGTGGGACTTCAGACAGGTAAAATGCCATAGACTCCACCCTCCAAACCAGCCATTTCTTCCTGATTAACAATTGTTGCCAATCTCCAGGTGAGGGCTAGAGATCACTGAAAATTACAACTGCTCTTCAGGTAGCAGAGATCAGTTCCTCTGGAGAAAATGGTAGACTCTGTGTCATTATACCCTGCTGAGGTCACCACAGCACATTGACGCTGAGTGCCCAAGGCCTTGGCACTCTCCCAGAGTCTCTTTCTAAAGCTCGTTGTATTTATTTCTACAACAGGCCTTATTCCTAGTATAATTATATAGATGAAGCATAAAGCACTAATCAAATATGTTTTGAGATGGTATTACTGTCTGTTAATAATGTAACCTGTATTAACTCAGCTATACATGTGGATGTGTACAAGCATACACCTTCACACCCTTATTTAAAATGTAACATTTAAAAGATGCGGTATACCATGGAATAGATCTAGAGGAGTTAGCTGTGTTAGTCTATGTATTTCTGGCCAGTTTCTTCATACCCTCCATGCATCTGACAAAGAGAGTTGTGTTTCTTGAAAGCTTATGCTACAATAAAGTTCGTTAGTCTTAAAGGTGCTACTGGACTTTTTACTGTTTTGTATACCATGGAAGGTACCATAACTACAACAGTGGCTGTCCAGACCTGCTTCCCTGCCTCCACCAGGTCAACTGTAAGATGACTACAGTTTGCATGAGGGCTGGCGAAAAAGGCTTAAACTAGCGTGCACTTGAAGCTGAGCCAAAGGGCATGATCCAGAGGTCATTTCGGGGGGAACGCGGGGGAACGCAGTTCCCCCAGGCGAGGTGCAGGGGGGTGGGGCACATGACGAAGCCCCTCCTCCTGCTTCCGGCCGCCCCGCTTCCAGCCCTCATTCAGCCAGGAGGAGACAGGAGAAGAGGGAGGGTAAGTTGCTTCCTCCCCGCCTCTCCCCACCCCTGCCTGCCTGGGGGCAGGGAGGGCCTTGGCGGGGCTTCCTCGCACTCCCGCTGGCCTTGCAGGTCCACCCGGGCCCCTGATGTCAGGGGGTGTGGCATATGCTAATGAGTTATGCTAATGAGTTCCCCTAGCTCTTTTTCTACGAAATGACCCCTGGCATGATCATTTTCAGACTAGTCATTGACAAAAAAATAGTGAATGAGGGCCAAATCTATAATCTGCAGTCTGGTGGGGGCAGGGGAGAAGAGTATAAAGCAGACTGAAATCACACAAGACTTTAGGAACAATCTCATCTGGAGAAATTGCACTGAATCCCTTAGTGGGCATGTCAGTACTAAGACTAAGATGGTGAACAACTAATAGAATAACTTGATTCTTGTTAGAACAAATTGAGAGTCCAGTGGCACCTTTAAGACCAACAAAGTTTTATTCAAGGGCATGTACACTTTTGTGTGCATGAACACTTTTTCACATACATTGGCATGGTAGGTAAGGGTCAACC